GGCTACCCACGCACAGTCACATACTCGGTACCTCTATTACCATAAATTAAAAACATATTCATTTCAAACTTTATTATCAAAAGTTGCTCCGCAATATGTAGGTTTCGGTATTTCCTGATTAAAATTGTTTGATTGTTTTGAATTTCGTGTAAAGCTACACGAGGGCGAGCATGTTTGCTGGGATGGGGATTCGAAACTTCGACCCTCAGACCATCCTGATTAAAATAATGAGTCTGAGAAAATAGTTGGAGAAGCTCCAAATAATATACATAGACACAATTGAAATTTACAACATAGATAAATTACAGCATGTTTTTTTTAACCTGGAATGATTATTGAGACTGGTTACCTTGACTCTGTTTTTTTAAAGTAAGCATTGTCCTAGTTAACATATGAATTATTTTGTTTTTCTATTGTTTTAGCGCATAGTCAAAATGGACTATTATGCTCTGTCTCTAGCAGGAAATGAACCCCGCATTTTACCGTTGTAAAACAGTAAACTTACCGCTGATCCACTGAGGATCATGAAAAGTGAACACTTAGCTTTTTTCCAACTTGAATATTTACTTTCCGAGTAATATTACTTATGATCCGAATAGTTAAAAAAAAATTCATGCCGGAAAAGAAAAATAGTTTGTTTGTTTGTAATTAAGCACAAAGCTACACAATGGGCTATCTGTGTTCTGCCCATCACGGGTATCGAAACCCGGATTCTAGCGATGTAAGTCCGCAGACATCCCGCTGTGCCACTGGGGGGCAAGAAAAATAGACATGTGTAACAAATTTAAGCTAAGAAACAAAACACAACTTCGCTAGATATACACAGTGTGGTCACAAGTAAATAGACACCACCTTATATATATTCACTATATTTATAATTTAATTAATATCTAGAAGATCTTCCTTCGCTTCGTGGAGTTCGTTGATCCTTTGGGGCATCGTGAGAATCATCTCGTCAATTTTAGATTGTGGGATTTTCGCCCACTCTTGCTTCAAAACTTGGAGTAGATCGCTCTTCGAAAGTTGGTTTTTGGTTGTTTCTTGACTTGCCGGTCGAATATGGCCCAGAGGTTTTCGATGGGGTTCATGTCAGGAGATTGGCTCGGCCAGGGCAACTTCTGGATACAATTTTCTTCCTGCCACTTTTGGGTGTTTCTAGCAGTGTGACACGGTGCTCCATCTTCCTGGAACAACGTTGTGTTCTTGTCCACGAAACCCGAGGAATAAAGTGGCGAGAGTCCTTCCTCCAATATTTCGACGTATTTCGCAAAATTTATGTTGCCAACGCACTCCACTAAGCTCGATCTCCCACCAACCCAAATAGCTCCCCAAACCATCACGCTGAAACCACTATGCTTCACAACTGGCTGCAATCTGTTGAGTGTTCTCCACAGATTGGGTTATCGTTGCAGAGCAGCTAGACGGAAGCCGTTATTAAGACCTGTGGGCAAGTAATATGATGACCAAGTCTCTGGACTTTTGGAAGATCGTACTGTTCTCAGATGTATCAAGATTCGCTCAATTTTCGGACAGTGGAAGGATATGGGTCTGGAGAATGCCTCACCAAGAGTTTTACTGCAGAAGTGGCCAAAGTTGGTGGGATGAGCCCGAAATCTGTTCAACGGATGTGGTTTCATTACCAACGAAGAACAAACAATTTCTACTACACTTAAACAACATACCTAAAGACAATTAATTTACTGCAGAAAACGAAAATTATTACACAGTTAACTTTCTAAATGCTACCATCACTCATTCATTTCATAGTTTCAACACAAGGTTTACAGAGGAGACACGCATAGAGTTAAAACTACGTCAATTTGCTTTCCATTCACACAGTACACCAGAAATTAGCCACACTAAAAGATTTAATTTGTATAACCTACACTGTTTGTAGCAGTGATAACATTGATGAAATTACATACTTAAACAAATGTTTTACAGGACCTAACAAGTTCCCCATTAGAATAGTTCACCAAATAACAAGTCAGTTTCATAAGAGTAACTTATATCCCTGATCAACTTAACACCACAGAAAACAGTAATGCACAAAAACAATCTAATAAAATAATCAATGGTACAATTCCATTCCCTTAAAGAAACATGGCAAAATTATAACACAAATGTGATTTAAATATCCATACCAGATTCATTTTCACCTCAGGAATAAACTCAAGCAAATATTAAAAAAAAGTATATTATGAACCTCCACAATGAGAAACCATATACAAAATATACTAGATGAATGTTACACATACGAGTAAAATAACACCACCCCCACCCCCCACACACGCGTGTAAATTACCATATGCAATCCAATCATCATGCCTTTTCAGAACACATTTTCTCCATTATTTAAACACAAGCCTAATATAAACAAAAGTGTAAACTTTGCTAATTATAACACATAATCCCAAAATTAATAAACATCCAGGCACGTCTCTTTACTTTTTCTTAACTTCTGTAAGTTAATTTACGAGACTGGATACCTACTCACACCTTTGTCCAAATAACTACATCCTTGTATTAAGTTTATTATTATCATCTTAATATACGACGTTTTACAAACCACTTAAAAATAGCAATTTTTAATTTTAGACACAATTACACATGCCTTGTCTGGTATATTTTTTAACATCTTGTTTACGTACATCTATATAAAGCTCATGTATAATAGGCCAAGCTGGTTATCCAATAAGTATTTTTCTTGTTACCGATAAAAACTAATTGATATTACACTTTATATTATGAAACTCGTGGTTAGCTGTACTCTTTAAATTCTATGTATGTGGTCTTATTATTCTTACTGTTTCACATGAATTCCTTTGATTCAACAGAATATTTAATAGATTGCATGTTAATCAATTTTGTTTTTCATTGTACTAGATGTCTGATTTTAAAAATTTAATGATCAAAGCTAAATTCACATGATTTCCCTAAGCGACCATTTTTAATGAATGATCTTGTTTTCTCTTTGTTGTTTGTAGGTGAGTTATTTATATTTTGATTAAATAATGTGTAAGATGTACTGTATGTAATGCAGCATCATATGTACTTGTTCAGAAATGTCAGTCATAATTATGTTGAATTATATTACTCTTCATGAAGTGAAACTTTTTTTGTTTTTCCAGGAGCCTCCCTTAAGACTGTACTACAGACCACGGGTAGACTTGTGACCAAAACTGTAGTTGTAAGGCATCTGTAAATAAATGTACATAAATTCATCTTTTTTTTATCTTTTTTTTTACACCACCAGTTAGAAGACATAAGTCATTCTTCATATAGTTTTTTGAACAATGAATGATCTGAAAGAAGTTAATTGTGCATTTGTGTCAGTTAGTTATTTAAGAAATAGGGATATTGAACTCTTTTTGGGAACAAAAGGAAAATATTCTTGTGTCAAAATGGAAGCTGAAAAGTTAGCGAACTAATCTGTAAGCAGTAAGGTTAAAGGAATTCCACAAGATTATAATACTGAAAGCCATTAAAGAGCAAAAGTAATAAAGAAAAAAGGCAATCATAGTGTTTCTGTGTTTGTTTCACCAATATCATTGAGGTACAAAGTGAAATTCTTCTAAACAGCATAGCTAAATTTAGTTAACTAATGCTAGTTTTAACAGAAAGCAGGTAAATATTAAATTCCACAAAGTTTTGTTTTGTTATATTTTTTTCCTCTGAAAATTTAATCTAATTTTTCACTGTCATCAGAATATGTTGAAATACGATGGACATATATCATTTCTGAGAGAATGGTAAGAAAAAAATTTGACTTTCTAACTAATGTTATATCATATAAATTAAACCTGTATATATATTTTGATTATAAAATGGTTTATATTGTTTAATGATATATCTACAGTTAAATGGTGCACATTAATTACAGTGAATCTACATTCAGGTAATAGTAATGTTTTCAACAATTGTGTTCAGATTTGTTTTTATAAAGCATTCATGTTCTACTTCCACACAAATTGATTACTTATCTAACACTTATGCATGTACATACTACTAAAACTGAATGAAGGCTGCAACAAGTGTACATCTTGTAAGGAAAAGTAGATTTTTGTGTACATAACAGGTAGTATATTTAGCAAGTTGTGAACTGTATGTTTGTACATGGGCTCAGTGCAACAATTGATAAATGTTGTATGTGAGAGATTATTTCAAGAATCTCACTGTGGTGAGAATATGGACCCCTCCTCTACAAAAATAATACAAATTGAAACAACCAATATAGAGAAATATATATCTCCTTAAAGAGTATTTGGGGTAAATTTTTTTATGTATGCCTAAATAGTCCTTTCATCTCAGGATTATTTAAATAAAAAAGTACTCTGATAAACACACTTTTTACATCCTTGAAATTTGAAAACAGCAGTGATTTAATAAAGAATGGATAATTCAACTAGAACATCCAATGTTGAATTGTGAAAGATTCAGAATGATTAAGTTATGATCGTCAGTAAACATAAGTTCAAAAGTCAGCACTTATATTTTTTACTTACATATGTCCACATAATTCTGTTTAAAAAATGATAATTGGGTGTTTCTTGGTAGTGAGTTTGGAATTAGCATATACTAAATAGGAATTGGTCGTATGGCTTTGAAAAAAAGCAACAAGAGGATTTAAAAATTTTGGCTATTTTTAGTTATTAGCCGGATTATCTCATTTAGGATAATTGAAATAACCACTGAACCTTTTTAAATCAGAATATAGATATTGTCACATCACTGCCATTCAAACAGTATAATTTATTTAAATCCTTTTGTGATGTTTATTGCAGGAATTTATAAAATTTGAATGCAATTTGTATATTATAGTTATAATAAAAATTATGTAAAATTTTGAGGTATTGTTTCCTAGTAGTTAAATAGAATATTGATTGTTATGTACAATTGGTTTGAATTTAAAAAATTAGCTAAGAATTCTTTAAATGTTTTTTGATCATCATACATACAGATATAAATTTCAAAAGCTTACGAAATATTTTTCCATAGATTTTCAAATTCTTAAATTATTAATAATGATAAATTCTAGATCAGTGTTTGAAATATACATGTTACAATTAATAAAAACAAGTTGAAAAGATAGTTCACAGTAATTTGTGTTCTAAAACATTTGAAAATATGCCACAATTCACAAGTCATTTAATGATAAATCTTGTTTGCTGATCAATATACAGTCTAGTAATTTATGCTTAGATAGATAATTATCAAGAAAAGTAAAAGCAACTAAAATATTATACGAATAATGTTTAATGTATGCATCCTTATAAAAGTAAGTAAAGCAATATTATATTGATTATCAGAGATTCATAGTATAAAATGTATCAGAATTAGCTAGTTAGTGACGAAATTAACCCTATGAAATAAAAAAAGAATTATTCAATTAACAAATGATATAAAAGTAAAAAAAACTAAGTCTAACTTAAGATAAAACCAACTTCTAGCTAACTCGTGAACAATCTATAGTTTCCACCTCACAACAGCTGTAACAAAACGCCAGGTGGTATTATATTATCTGCTAAAAAACCTACTCGTCTTTGCCTTAGATTAGTAGTTCTTTTTTACTCTTCTTTAATGAACGTGTCGAACTTAAGTAATTGCTACTGTGATTCAATAACAACGGATTTTACTTCTTGCTGAACAACCCTCTGAGAATTTTCCTCGATTCCTACGATCTTCTCGGTGGTTCAGCGGTAACTCTGAGGGGTGCTTACACTAAAAAATCGAGTTTCTATACCCGTAGTGAGGAAGGGTACAAATAGCCATTACTGGAAGCACAGACTAGAACTGTGTTTGATCGTAAATCGCTAAATACAAAAAGTCATTTGACTTTTCTAACTATTTCATTGGATCTATTAACCGAAATGAACGTGTTTTTCGAATATTCGTTACAAGAAAATAGTACTTTTCTACTATACTGTGAAACGTGGTAATTTTGGTTCTTCATGGGTGCTTGTGATGCTGAGAGTGTTCACGTGAGAGTGCAGTTTTAATACTGAAGTATGTTAAAAAAAACATTAGCAACGATTAACATAAATAACATAAAGCTCTCACATTTTCTTGTCACTGTGTAATATGCTTTTACATTCAACATGCACTATTAAGTTTATCTATCTCATTCGTTAGGATAATATACTCGCATGAAAAGTATTGCTCGATAGATTAAAAATAATATTGATGAATTGGAAAATGGATGAAGTTGAACTAAGACATGAGTTTTCTAAAATGGGACCTTTTAAAATGATATAGAAATGTTGAGAAAAAGAACCAATCTAGACACACTATTTTGGTTTTTAAAATAAGGAAACTATAAATTTAATTAAATAAGTAACCTAAAGTTTTTATGACTATATGAGGAGAATCGATGGCATTTCTGCATATTTATGACGCTAAAAATCTTGTTTCGATATCCGTGGTTGGCACAGAACAGATAGCCCATTGTGTTGCTTTGTGCTTAACTAGAAACACGTACGTTATACAAGGATCACCTAAGATCTTTATTTCTAGTTATGAATAAGACAAATTTTAAAGTTTGAAAATATAAGATCACAAAATTTCAGCTGTTAAGTTTACTGAACGTGATATTAATCTGATATATACATATTTTCTTACACTATAGTGAAATTGAACGTACATGACGTTTATTTCATGAGAATATTATATGAACATCCAAAGACGTATAAACTGAACAAGAACGATGCGATTAAGTAATGTTTTAAGTAGAACAGAATTGTCCTATTTTCAGCATTATCGTTGAAAATACAATAGCTTATAATTTTTGTTTCAGTAGCTTATTAAAGGGTAGTAAATTTTTTCTTAATCACCTCACAATACCCATCCAAGCTTCTTGTATTGTACGTATTGTCTTTTCATGAGACTTAGGAGCTCTTGTCAAAGACATTGATTAAGATTCAGCTAATTTTCTTTAAAACAAGTTTTACGTGTAATTATAAAAATGTAGAGTGACGAATTCTAACGTTATGGTGATTGCACTAAAAACAAAGACAGCTGTTGTCTATCCTGAATAACTGTTTCTAGCCAGCCAAACCAGCACAACTTAACTTTTTACATTGTGTTTTGTTTGTTAACACCTTTTTGAACAGAACAAACGCATACATAAGCTTTGTTCAACAGTCAACATTTTCTGTATGGATTTGAAGTCAGAACATTTCCTTTATTTCACCACAAATTAAATAGCTTTGGACACTATGACGTGTATTCTTAAGCATCGTTTTTATTTAATCATAATAAAGGTTTGTTTGTAATTAAGCACAAAGCTACACAATGGGCTATCTGTGCTCTGCCCACCACGGATATTGAAACCCGGATTCTAGCGTTGTTAAGTCCGTAGACATACCGCTGTGCCACTGGGGGGTTAATCATAATAAACCCAATACAGTATAAATTTGACACAGTGATGGAATTTATGTAGTCTAAAGGACTGGACCTACACCAAAGATTCTAAGACTCTTGGTATGTTAAATACAAAATGGTTTCCAATCTGTTTCAGGACTTGTTGCAAACAAATATACTTCAAGAGTACTTCAGTATGAAACTCAATTTATTATTAAGCCCACCAGTTCCTGCTCGAATGAGAAGCAACTGAAACTTACAGAGAAGGTGCTGTTAAAATATACTACATAGAGAAATGGTTTTCTTTGTTCAGGCTATAAAAAGTATAATTAGCAACTGTAAGTGACCTTTGAACCTGTATATACTATTGTAGTGAAAGTGATTTTCTTTACAAGAGCAAAGCAAGAAAATACAGATTTATTGTTAAACACATTTGAAGTAGTTATTACCACAGCACGTATTTACTTTTCTTGGATTTTGAGTCCACTTGAATGTTTATGTGGAACAGTTGACAGAAATTGGTCTTCTGTACTTTAACTTTCTTGAGTGTATTTGCATGTTTTCAAATGCTGAATTTTTAATGTTTTTCTGCATAAAGAACACATACAAATGATGCCAAAAGCTAACTTGAATTCAGATGATCTCGATCTACTTAGTTCTTCAGGGGGTTAGTCAGGCTGTTATTCCTAGAATAGTGACTTTGATTATCATTATTTTTCCATCAAAACAACCTATATACATAGATCAAAAATAAAACCTAGCAGATAGTGTGTGTTTGTGTTTTCTTATCGCAAAGTCACATCGGGCTATCTGCTGTGTCCACCGAGGGGAATCGAACCCCTGATTTTATTATTGTAAATCCAAAGACATACCACAATCCTACCCTAGCAGAGAGAATAAATAATATGGCCAATTTAATTTACAGGTCTAACTGAGTGTATGCAAAAAAAAAACTTAGTGTTTGTTTGTCTTAGCGCGAAGCTACTCAATGGGGTGTATGCGCTCTATCCATCAGGTAATCGAACCCTTGATGTAGCGTTATAACTACGTAAACTTACCGTTTACTCACCAAATAACAACTTATGATAATTACAACGATTCATCAGGTGGATATCTTAAGTGTTAAACGCTGATATTCTTGGCCGTAATCCTAGAAATATACACTGAGTGGTCACAAGTAAATAGACACCTAATTTTTAGTCATTTAACCGATTTATGCTAACTAATTTGTGTTCATTAAGCACTATATAAATGAAAATGGTCAGCACACTAATTATTTTGTGCTACAACGTGCCTAGAACTCAAGGTTCTCTCGAATTGTCAGATTTGTTAGAGGAAGGATAGTTGGTCAAGCAGATGGTGGAATAAGTCAGCGGTAAATTTCGCAGAATTTGGTAATCCTGCTTTCGACAGTCAACAGAATCATCGTGCAGTTCAGGAAACACGGCAAGAAAACAACTGAGCAGCGTCCGGATCGTTCTGGTCCATTAGAGAGGACAAAAAGGGCTGTCAAGAGGAGCATCGAAATATATCCCAGATTAACGTTTACTGGCTGAATTATGCTAACAATGTTTCCTGTGGTTTCACTACCAATGAAGAACAAACAATTTCTACTACACTTAAACAACATACCTAAAGACAATTAAAAAGAAACATTGTTAGCATAATTCAGCCAGTAAATTAATTGTCTTTAGGTATGTTGTTTAAGTGTAGTAGAAATTGTTTATTCTTCGTTGGTAGTGAAACCACAGGAAACATTGTTAGCATAATTCAGCCAGTAAATTAATTGTCTTTAGGTATGTTGTTTAAGTGTAGTAGAAATTGTTTATTCTTCGTTGGTAGTGAAACCACAGGAAACATTGTTAGCATAATTCAGCCAGTAAATTAATTGTCTTTAGGTATGTTGTTTAAGTGTAGTAGAAA